TGCTCTAACCTGCAGGGTCGTCAGAGCCAATTTCCAGGATAACGAGCATCACAGAGCCTCGGTCATTGTCTCTGGCTCCCCACAAAGGAAGCACAGCTCTGTAGAAGGGATGAGACTAGATCAGATTGTTTGTTCTTTCTGAAGCTATAGATCCTACATCTATTTGTGCAGAAATCCTAGGCACAAAGATTTGGAGAAATCCTAGCTATAAACATTTGGAGAAATTTGACGTAATGAAAGAATGTTCTTCACATATTTCCTGGAAGAGGTTGTTAAGCCACTGTTTCATGTAAGCCTGTGCAAAAAGCATTTTTATTCAATCTGTCTTTGTACTGGAAGGATAATGTTTATAGACATAAAGATTGGGAGGCCCCATCTGTAGAGCAGAGGATCAGAGTATTGTAGCAGAGGGACTGGCTGATGTTTAATCACCTGCAGTGATTAAAACCAAGATGAAATTCAGTAGCAGCAACTGTACTGTCTGTACTGACTACCAACTTATAGGTGGGCCATTGTAAAAGTAGTTTCTGCTATAAGCATTTATCAGGAAGGAGTGAAGTACAGAGACCTCCCAGTGTATTATTTGATCACAAGGTAAGGTTAGTCTGGAAATATGGATGGAAAAAATGGAATTCAAGGGTGCTGCAGAGTATTTCCATTACAAAAATAAAGGAAAAATACATGAAATGGTGGTGGTGTGTACAGTCTTCAGGAAAGCTTTACCAAACCTAGAAGAGAAGCTGAGAAGGGCATCCAGAGTGTACAGCTGAGACTAAAAGATTTCAGCTTGCTTAGCCTGGAAAAACAAAAGCTGAGTGGGGATAGTGTTGCTGTCTGCAACAGAAGCGATGATGATGAGAGGAAACTGCTTAAGCTAAAGGAAAACAGTGGCTAGTGGGAAAGTGAGCAGAAGAGGAGTGCAAATAAAGGTAAGCAGGAAATAATAAAATAAATACATAATAAAGTAAATAATAACAACAACAACAAGATTCCTGGGTAGGAAGGGAATGGGGGTTGGGGACAGAAAAACCACCCTAACTGCTTCTGTGGTCTCCTTTGCTGATAAAACCCCAAGAGCAATTGCTTTAAATTGTGTTCAGTTACAGTTTTTTCCAGCATTGTTCAAGTAGTTTAATCCCATATAAGCAGACGTTTAACTTGCCATGAGAAGTCTCCTGTTGGGGCACCCTGGGGAATCACTCTTATCATGTCAGTGTCAGGGGTGTGAACCCTCTCCAGCTGCATCGACAGAATCTGCAGAATGGCATCTCTTTCTTTGTCCACTCCAGGTACTTTGAATATTACAAAAGCCCAATGGAGCAGATGCATGAGCGCTGTGAAAACTACCCCCCCTGTGACTATCTCTCTGATCAAATAGGATTTTCCATGGCCTACAACCGTTACTTTGGGAGATACTAAGGATGGGATGGTCACTTCGTTCATTTGGCTTGGGATGACTCTGAACTCCCTCAGGAGAAAGAAGGTTGTGGGTGGGAAGGAGACAAGAAAAACATCTATACTGGGGCCTTCTTGACTTGTCTCCCTAACCAGCTGGAACACCAAGGCAATAATTATCCTATTTGTTGAGCTTGCATTAGCTTTATTGCTTTAATCAAAAAAGTTTCTCTTCACTTCTCTTTTGTGGTATTTCGAGCCTCACCAGAAATGACTGAGAAGACTCAATGTCTTACATCTTTCCATTTGAATCCCCAGGACACAATAAGTGAAAAAATTGTGATTCCCCACAAGAAAATCAATGTATATCTTAGAAACATAACAAGACTTTGTCTTCTTCTGAAAAATGCATAAGGATTATAGAAGGAGGATGTCACTAAATGTGTCAAGTGTGACGGATCTGATCCTGGGATACTCAGTGGGAAGAAGGGGGAATGGCTGCCTCCTGGTACGATGACTAGGAATGTTCGGTATTTTCAGTTAGAATAGTCACCCTGAATATGTGCCAATGTAGGATCATTGTACAAGGATAGAAGTGTGGAAATACTGTTGCATAGTCAGAAATCAGTTTCTGGTACACTCTTCTGATTATGCTGTCACAAAACTTGCCTGTATAACAAAACCAGAAAAATCCCCAAAGGTGTGTTTGAGGAGTCCTTTTAGATGAGCCCTTCCTTTTGTATGCTGCATTCAGTGACTGTAAAAAGTAAATTGTAAATCTCTCATTATTTTTCTCATGATTAGTTTCTGATGAAACTGAATGTACCCAAGCAGAACAAAAAAATTTATCTGTTCCTCTCTGATGCTTTAGCATTTATGCTTAAAACTCAAATTGCCTAAACAGCTCCCAAAAAAGCAAACAAACAAACAAACAGCAATAAACTTCATGAAATAAACAAAAATAAATGGATGGATTGAAGCTGACTCAGCATTTGGTTTATTCAAGGCAGCTTGTATCTGTCTCATATATATATATATAAATATGTGTGTACTTATATATACATATCCTCTTCCCTCTGCACTACTTAATTCAGTCCCTTTGTATGAATATTATACCTTTGAAACTTTCTGCACAGCCTCCCCTCATGTGCTCTGTCAGCTTTCCTTCCCTGAGAGGTAGATGGCAGATCTCATCTTCAAGGTCAGGGACTGCTGACCCTCGGGATACTGAGAAAGACCTGATCTCTCTGGTTGTGTATAAACTGGTGCAGCCATCCTCAGCTGCTGACTGCAATAAATACTGCTTATGTAAAGCAGGTTGGTGTGCTGTTTCTCTCTGTTCCTCTGTACAACCTTTATCTGCGGTTAGGGATGCCTAGAAGATAAAGCCTGTTCCTCCAAACCCTGAAGAGCAGGATCCAGGTGCATGAGCCTTCCTTCTCCACTCCTGTGCCCCAACGTGAACTGGAACTGACTACACTGAAATTCAGGTCATAGTCCCAGTACACCATGAGAGTGAGGGAGAGGAGGACCAGGCTTTTCCCAGCTCACCACCCACCAAGTTCAGCATTTCCCTGAAAGACCTTGCTTTGAAGTAAAGACATGGGATAAGTCCACAGAGATGGCTGCTGGTGTGAGTGTGAGCATCTCTTGTTTGGCAAGCTGCTATGACTCGTACCGCCTGTGCTGATCTTGGCCAAGGGGAAAACAGTTAATAAACAGTTACCTCTGCTCGTTGTGGTCAAACACCCGAGACTGGTTTCTCTATTGGCATAAACTGATAGGGCTTCACAGCTCACAGCAAAATTTTCCTCTGAACACCATCTAGTGAAAATGAACAAAGCGCTCACTGAAAGCAGTGAAAATTTTGCTGGGAAAAATACTAGAGAAATCAGTGAAATACTAATATTTGCTGTACTAACAAGTTAGGGGGTTTGTTGTTGTATGGTTTTGTTTGCTAAAGAAGAAAATCAAGCCTCCTGTCTATATTTGCATCTTTCTGTTAGTTTTGTGCTTTTCTCTTGCTTTCAGTAAATATTTTTTTTTGGGGGAAGTTGCACGCAAAGGCCTTCATCATGTCATCTGCTCTGTGTCACCAGATCTCTGTATGGGCTGAAGTCATCACAGCCTTTGGGAGATCTGAGTGCACGAATCAGATTACAAATTTACTGCTGGAATGGAGGAATTTGATTTTCACCTGATCAATGCAAATTTAAGTACCATTACAAATCCTCTGCTGCCGTCTTATGGCCATTTTATTTATTGCCATCCGATAAATAGTACATTATGTTGCTTCTGAAGCATCTGAAAAGGTAAATCCAGGGGGATTTCTTCCTGATTCACTTTATACTACAACATATGCTAAGATGCCAGGAAGGAAAAACAGGGACATAATCTGCAACTGGATTATATGCAGCTGAATTGATAGTGACTCTGACATTCTAGCAGGGTTGTTTTTCCTGATTGTCAAGTTCCTGCTGGTGCCTGTCACAGTTCAGCTCCTTTTTATCTCTACATAAATGGAAGAGAAGATGCCTCTAAATCAATTCACAACCTCTTCCCTGGACTCACTTTTAGCAGTTGAAATACAGCCCAAGACGATAGAGCAATTTAAAGAAGAAGTAGATAGGCTGCATTTATTGCTTTGTATCATCCTTCATGTCATCATCTCGTATTACCAGTGGCTGCAGAAATTGTCAGCAGCATCAGCTGGTTCAGTGTTATAGATCGCTTTGAAAGCAACCCAATATTACACCTTTATGTCATCTCTCACTTGATTTCAGCAATATTCAGCAAATGCTCTCTGTCCACAGAACGCAAGCAGCTGCACAGACATCTCTTTTCCCAGGGAATCATACCATGACCACAAGTGTCCCCCTCACCCAGCCTATCACTAGCAGGCAGTGGAAAATGGACTTCACTTCTCTGTAGTCAGAGTCTTTTATTGGGAAGGGTGACTGGAAAGCAGCTCCTAGAGAGGCATTAGTCACAGTATATAATCTGTATTTACACACTCATTCTGAGTGTGCCAAATGTAAACAGGTCAACACAGTGCCACTCTGCAGTGGTGTAAGAGTAGGATTGGCTGCACATTACTAGAAACCAGGGGGAGCTGAGGAGAAGGACAGTTACTTTATCTCTGCTTCCAGATGGGATCCCAACCTACCATGCATTTCTACATTGCCTTTATCAGAGCTCTGCACTTCTTTAAAAGGGCTTTTTAAACTTTTGACCAAGGAGTTCTCTCCACCTCATCCTGACAAATCACTCCCCGGGAAGAACTGCTCTAGACTTCTCCAACCCAGAGTTTTCTTCCTTTTTGCAAGAACAAGAACACCAGATACCTTGAAATTAAGAAAACTATCAAGGTGAAGGACACCTACACCAGCTGGAGTTGGTGCAACCAGACCCTTCTTTATGGATTGTGGGCACACTTCTACCAGTAAATTGTCTGATCAATGACTTCTGAATTGCTGTAAGAATCTGGTGAATGATCTTTGGTTGAAGAATTGCCACCCAAACCTGAGTGCAAATTACAAACAGCAGAATTTTCCAGTTCAAGAAAAAAAAGGGAAAAAGATGTAAATTACCTTTACTTGAACAACATGTTTGTTACAGTGTCTCTAGTGGACTCTAAGATGCCAGTGCTGCTGGCCAGACTTCCGTTGCTGATCTCCTTGAAAATGCTGGTAAAAGGGGTAAACATTGCTCTTTATTTGAAATGTTGAAATTGCTTATCCCACTGAAATAAACTTTTTTTTTTTTTTTTCCATTTGAAACATGTTTTTTAAGGAGCTTTGGGTTCAGTTTTGTCTTCTGCTTTCAGTTGCTTTGTTCCATTTCTTACCTGTCCTAATTCCTTTTAACTACTTGGTTGGAAATTTCCTCTTGTTTGGAGACAGATAGTTTCCCACAGTGTGTTTGTGAGTAGATCTCATGGAATTATTCCTCTCCTTTTCCAGACTGTCTCAGCTGATGCTCTGACAAAATCAGTGTGGTTTTGGATGGGACAGTGACAATATTGCTTTATTTCTTGTGACTGCCTTTTAGCTTTCCCTCAAAGCAATGACGGTATCATGGAGAAATAAACTGAATCCCTGTAGTTTATGGGCCAGTGTAACTTCAGAGACTAAGAAAGGTATCAATTTGGTTATGTGTCTAGGATGAATATTTGTGATGAAGTGAATATCTACTTGTAGAATTCAAGTAACTATCAACTGACTACAGTACTTTACTAGTTTACTCAGAGATCAAAAAGCAAAAAGAACAATGACATAACTCACACCAATTCTTAGATCTTATTACACAAGATTTTTTATTAATTAGAAATGCTAGAAACAGAAAACTAGTGTGTCATTTCATAGGCAGAATATATTAGAGGTTATTTTCCTGTTATAGCACCCAGTTGTGTAAATCCTTACTCGTGTGTTTAATTTTTATTTACATGATAAATCCAGATGGCTTCACTGAGACAAACTGGACGAACAAATGTTTTGGCACATTGATACTATATTGTCCTTTTCTCTGGAGTCAAAACGTGTTCGAGAGGTACAACAACACAGAAAGAAGAAATTCACCTCTGAGAGTGTTCAGGCTGCACTGCCCCTAGCACATTGTTTTGCTTATTCTTTTCCTCTTCAAAACCACTTATCAATCATGAACAGAATATTGAAATAAATGGACCATGGGTCTGTCCTGCAGGCTCTGTACCCTTGCCCTCTGAAAGGCCAAATTTCCTGAAGTTTTTAATACCACTGACACATCAAGTAAGAACTCTGGCATGCTGGCTGGCATTTTCCTGAGGTGGGGCTTCAACAATAACCTGAGGTTGCTCAGGAAGGTCTTGTCAAAGATTCTGACCTTCTGTGCTTGCTCTGACAATAATGGCAAAGAGGCAAGAAGAGGGTAGGAAAAAAATTGGCTTGCATCCATAGAGATACACAAAAGGTTCACATTTCTGATGCTAATCTTCATTTGTTGCAGGCTGAGTCTCATCTCATGATGGATATGGCTCTGCATTCCTTTGATGACCAGTATCTGGGGTGCAGAGAGCAGGTGATGGAAGAACTGAAGCGAGGAGACTATTTCCAAAAAGAAATAGCTGCTAACAAGGACTATTTGAGTCTCTGGAAAAAGGCTCAGGAGGCTTTATTAAAGAGCCCTGTAAGACTCCTGAGGGAGATGCATGAGAGCCATGCCATAGTCCTCATGGCTTACACCATGAACTCTTCCCTGCACTCTCAGCTGAACTGGGCCACATCTACAGCAGGAAGCTCTCCAGAGAACTACAGACACAACTTCAGCTTCAAATACTTTCATTTTTATCTAACAACTGCTATCCAGATAATGAAGCAGTGGCAGACCAGCAAGGAGAGCATGGGGAAACGTAAGTGCTACCGGGTGCATAGGGGTGTGAAAGACTTATATATTGAGGCCATGGTAGGCAGCAGGGTGCGATTTGGCCGTTTCACCTCCACCTCCCACCTGTGGAATGAAGCCCAGAAGTTTGGGAATGAAACTTTGTTCACGGTGACCACTTGCCTGGGAGCAGCTGTTCAAGGCTTTTCTTACTACACATCTGAGAAGGAAGTCCTCATTCCCCCTTATGAGATATTCCTTGTTAAAAGCTTCTTTCGGACACAGCACGGTAACCGTCTGCATCTGCATTCTGTGGGGAACTACAGCAAGTACCACTGCCAGCTCATGGAAGGTATTATAGACAGCCTTTCATGCAGGGCAGGTGCAGGACAGTCTGGTCACAAGTACCCCAAGCAGCCCTCACCAGCTGCACCTACATGGGGCCATACTCAAGGCCAAATCCATAGCTTTGCCCGCTGTGTTTGCCTACGAGAGCCATATGACCCAGTTTTCATCTGTCATGAAACCCGGGAGCACTCTGCAGCTCACTACAGATTAAAATCCATCTGATACACAGCAGGTCTCAGGGTTCTCTGCAGCCTCCATTTATCCCACCTGCCATTGCAAGGATGTTGCAGGACCCAAGTATTTGGGTCCCCAGCATTCCTACTGCAAGGGCATGTGGGATTTGAAGGCAGCTTGAATCCACTTATTTATTCTGGTGGCTTGCAAGGCTGCTACACTTCAAGCCTCAGGACAAAACTATTGCTGCTTCAGTTGTGTTTTCTCTCCTGTGGAAGAAGGGAGGAAAGGTATCCTTTGGCAAAGAGTACACTGCGAGTATCCTGGCTGCAGAGATAACTATTCTGTGCTGGAAGACCTCACTGGGCTTGTTCCACAGCCCTGTCCTTCTGTGAGTCCACCACCAAAACAGGACTCTTGCTTTTGTCTCTCTGAACAACAGTGTGTGAATGCAACCTTTGAGCACAAAATATAATTCAGGAATAAGAGTTTGCGCCTGGAGCTAAGCCAAAGTAGTAGGTAGACTTGAGGAAACGGCTTTCTGGGCAAAGGCTGCATTAGCAAGTGCAGGAAGCTTTAGGCAGGCAAAAGAGTTCTAAATGACTGCTCTCATTACTTTCTTTCAGCTTCAAGAAGCAAGAACAGTGGTTCCACAGCCCTCGCCTCTACTGTTCTTCCTAGTGTAGTTGGAGTTTTCATGTGTTTGGTCTGCAATGACTGATTCTCTGGCTGCATCCAGATATATACACTTGAATAGTGGGCAAAAAGACTTCACAGGAAATCAGTATCTGGAGTTCCTGTTGCCACAGAAGGTTCAACCTTCCCTTTGCTTTCAGCTGCAGCTCTCCATCTGAGACTGGAACATTCAGCCTACTTCATCAGAACAGGCATTCCCTCGACTAATTCAGGTAGGAGGGCAGTAATCTATGGCCTTTCTGAAGAACAGGACAGTGACACCCTTCACTGTAGGTAGCTTTTCCCTTAGGCATTCAGGAAAGACACACAAGGATTTTGGACTCTTCACAGATCTCCTAGTACCTTTATTTTTAGTGAGAAAGAGTCTGTCTGTGGGATGCAAAAGGCACCATGGTGGTAAAGTCCTCTGAGCGCAGGGTCCCAGGGGACAGCACAGTCTGTGGCTGCTGCGCAGTGGTCTTTCCCCGCTGCTTGACCCCAAGCACCAAAGCCATAACCTCACCTCAAGCTGACTGCATCTCACACATGGGGGACAGAAGCACAAAGCTGCCTTGGGACATGAACTTATCAGCAGAGGAGCACAAGACTTGTCAGACCTGTCTTCAGCTTTCATGTTCAACTTTAGCATTTATTCTGAAAATCTCAGGCAGATCCTGTGTTCTTAACAGTACTCTAGTGGCTGATGGATACATGCTGGTCATTTCATGCTGGAAGGAGAGCTGGTGGAGCCCACTGCTGTCTTTATGGGTATTGGATATGACTGAAATTAATTTACCTGCCTTTCTTCTTTGCTGGTCTGCAATGTCTAATGCTGGAGGTTGAATCAGCATCACGAATTGGAAGTTGAACATAAAATTTAGCTATAGACTCCTCTCACTGTTATGCATTCATTCAGCATTTCTGGAGCCTTAGAAACCCGAGGTAGAACAGCTATGAAGTTCTCCCATCTCCAAAAAATAACAGTGTGGAAATTATAAGAAATATTTCTGCCTGCAATTCCCCTTTCCAACACACCTTGCTTGCTTCTTCACCCGGGTCCGTCACCCCCACTGACACTAGCCCTGGGCTGAGGTTAGTCAGAAAGGTTATCTCACTGGTCCAAGGAGACTAGTCACGGTGATTTAACTTCTCAGTGGAGCCATCAAATAATTGAACTGAAACTCACTGACACATTTCACAAATGACCCCAGCTTTCAGTCACTCACTGCTGATCTTGGCAGGAAGCTAGAGTTCCGTATTCACCACACCCTGTCTGAAACAATAAGCAACAAGTTAGTTATCCAAAAGAGATCTGAATATAAGAGGACTGCATAAGTTGCCTATCAGCTGGTTAGTTAAAAGTAAGGACAGCCAAAAGCACCTGTGTGAACTGCTTGACTCTCAGAGCAGCTCCATATAAGCTTGGTGCTGCCATTCCCTTGGAAATACTGTGGGAACAAATGCAGAACTTAGCACATGAGATATATTAGCATTAAAAATGTAGGCACTTTAGGAATGTAGATGTCTTCAGGCTTTAGCACATTAAATGGAGGAGTCTGAGGCTCTGCATCTTGTATATCAGATTTAGGTGTCTGCAATGTCAGGGGCCATCATCTAATTATCTAAAACCTAGTAACAAGTTCTGTGAAACTGAACTACTGCGCCTGGAATCCTAAAACATGGTTGCCCAGTTAGCTAAAACAGATTTAATACAGAACTGGTTTACTATTATCTTGTTTTCTATCTATATCTCATGTTACTTTCTTATTGCTCTTGGTTTACCAGTGATTTCAAATAATAAGTTGTCAGAACTTGATACTAAGCCCAGATTTCAAAAAAGAACGAAAATATTAGAAGCAGATGCTGCAGATACATCTTTTATGTGTGTTCAAACATGCTTAAACACTTTCCTATGCGAGAATTACAGGAACCAAGATGGATTTCTGATACATCAGCACATTTATGTTTCTTTCTGCTGAGCTGTTAGCAATGGGATGCAGGCTTCAACCATTTTAACACAAGTTTGGAATCCTTCACAAGGTGGCTTCAGCACCCTGAAAGCCTCCTCTAAGTAGTCAGCTGCTATTTTGATGCTTTTCTTGATGGATCTGTGTCCTCGAAGGATAGCCCGTAGGAAAACAAGAAATGAAGAGGAGCGGGGTAGAGAGCGAAGCCTGAGCTGTTGTGATGTTTCATTCAAGGAGGAGCTGCCTTCTGTAGTACTTGGTGTCTCATTTTGCTGCAGCATCTTCACAATATCAGCATAGTCCATGAGAAGTTCTGATACGTGGAGGGATAAGGCAGGTGAACTCAATAACTGATGAACAGCAGACTCTACTGCATCAGGGAAATTGTCATGTTTCAACAACACTGCAACAAATGCACCCGTGACGCTTTCTACGACCCCTTTGTAACTCTCATAAAGTTCCTTTACTGCAGTGATCTTGTCCTGCAGGGAGATGATGGGACCAGCAATCTTGGCATACAAATTGTGTCTGATGCTTTCCTGTACATCTTTGTCTTTTGGTTCCATTCTGGCTTGCATCTCTTTCAAAGCACTGACCAGGAGCTGCAGATTCTCTTTAACGCTGAAGTTTTCTTTTACTGACAGGATGGGGAAGTTGGTGCCAAGATGTGTATTGAGGAGTCGGAATACTGTGTTGGTCGAAGAGACATAGATGTACACTAAGTCATACAGATTCTGGCAGGCCCTGAGCAGCCTTTCTTTATCACCCTGAAAACCAAGGCGGGCTAACATTTCTGGAGTGGGTTCTGACTCTGAAAAGCAAACAGAGGAAATCCAGAAGACATAGAGGAATAAAACTGGATATATTTTCAGCTAGAATGTTACATTCCTGAAACCAATATTACAAATAATCAACCCACCTGACCCACCCTCACCCAAGACATTACAGTTAAAAGAAAACACAGAAAAAGCTCTTTACCAGCCTTTGCAGGGGTCTTACCAAGCAGGACAGCAAAATATGGTGTAAACAGCTGCAGGTATCGTAACTCTTATGGCTGCAGGAGGTGTGGCTCTGACCTTCAGCATGCCATCTGAAAAGCAATGGAAGTGCTGTAACTGAATTATTCTTGCCTTTTGGTGTTTACTGGTAAATCTATGGGAATCCTATCAAACAATCTACTTTACATCATCCTTAGAACTATAATCCTCCAGTTTTTATATATTGGTGGGTCTACACAAAATCAAACTCATATTCTGGGAAGGGGGCAATAGACACAGCAAAGTCAAAGACATCAGACATCTACATTCAAGAGAGAAAGTCACTGAAGACTGAGCAATGCAATGTTTTGTCAGGCTACAGTTTCCTGTGAAGTGAGTGACCCATATCTGGCAGTTCATACAGCAGCTAGATGTTGCAAGCAGTTCTTGATAGATGGAAGCACAAAACATTCCAAGAGGTAACGGTTATAAGCTGAAAGAGGGCAGATCTAGACTAGATACTAGAAATAAATTTGTCACTGTGAGGGTGGTTAACACTGGAAGAGGTTGCCCAGAGAAGCTGTGGATGCCCCATCCCTGGAGGTGTTCAAGGCCAGGCTGGATGAGGCTTTGAGCAACCTGGGCTAGTGGGAGGTGTGCGTGCCCATGACAGGGGTGTTGGAAACAGATGATCTTTAAGGTCCTGTCCAACCCTAACTGTTCTATGATTCTGTGATTCTCCTTGCTTGGGCTCCCATCTTGCTACTGTTCTGACTACTAAGGAAGTTATGTCCTTCTGCTTGCACCTAAGAGTTCTCCCAAGGCCAACTGCAGGAACAGTCCTGGAAGAGAATACAGCTGAGGGACTGTTCCTAATGCTGCCTTTGCTTGTGCCAGAGCCCTGGAAAGCCAGACTTGCTGCAACAGACATGTTTCATCAGCTATTGATGTGGTTAGGTGTGCAGTTAGATGTGTACAAGCAGTTGCAATTTCCCATCCCACTTCATACTTTTAATTCTCTCAGTGCTCAGCTCAACACTCTGCCTCTTCCTTCCTTTCCCCTCCCATGGCAGAAGTGGTCTGAAGTTGTCTGAAATAGGAAAATTGATTTTAGCCTCCACTGCTGTTCAGCCAGAGCTGGCTCTGGGGCTCCATGCCACTTCTTCCACTCTCTTGGCATCAGGAGAAGGGACCTGAGAAATTGCAGCAAAGAAGGCTGACAGGCACTCCAGATTAAGTCCTTCCCTTAAAACCTAATTGGTCTGAAACAATCACAATCTTCCCTGAAGCCCCAGAGTAAAGCAGGAACAAAAATGCTTACTTATTGTTTGAATTATTTTCTGTCACATTCCAAATGATGGAGACTCTTGAAGAGAAGAATTTGCATCCATAGCAAACCTTGAAAACCTGAAATCAGTTTCCAGCCTACATAATGTGACACAGAGGCAGCTGCCAGCCTGATCAATTCAGTCCAGTCCAATATTGGAAGAAGTATTTCAGGACTACGTGGCATTCTCAGTTAATAACAGGAGTCACAACTAATTGATGACTGCAGAAACGTATTAGTTACACCATTAGTGTTCTCCTTCAGCTCATCTTCTCATACCTACAGCTCTGAAAACAAGGTGAGTTTGGTACTCTGGTTCTGGGTTGAATTGCTCAGCTTTCAGGGGGAAACAAGCTGGCAATTGCAGAGTACTCATTTTATACTTGATCTTTTACTTCCACCTGAGAAACTCCACCATTCTCTACTGGGGAAGCAGCATTTGTGACCAGAGCCTAGTGAGCAGCAGGTCCATCTTTCTAAGCATCAGAGCATGAAAGATCTTTAGCTTGGATGAAGGCAGAAGTACGAGGTTGTCTTGCTGGGACAGACAAAGCCTGTTTTCACTGTCTGTGATATCTATTTTTCTATTTGTGTGGGACTGTTCAACTTTTCTTCCATAATTCACAGGTGTACAAAACCAGTCATGGCAACAATTCATTGTTTCACAGAATAGCTCCAAGCATTACTGTTTATTGCTTATACTCATAAACAATAGAAATTTATAAATACCAGTACAAAACCTAATCCTGTATCTGTATGAATGAAAAGTGCTGTC